AGTCGATTGGCGATGAGTTTATTCGAATTTACATAACTGAAGTATATGTGGGATAAGAAGTAATCCAGCCGTAGGAAGATGACTGCATCAACAGGTGGTATTCATTGCTGTACTGCAATTGATTATGATAATAAAATGCAAAATCAGCGTGCGCTAACGCTTGCGTTGAGTTATCGTTAAATATGTATTAGTAGAATGACCAGAGGAACAGGATAGTGACTACGGAGACGAGATATGCGGAGTCGTATTCCTTTTTGGTCATGCAGCCTAGCGTGGTTTGTGTGGTTAGAGGGATATGCGCTCAACCTCATTTGTTACGAAACCGTTTTAAGGCGTAATAAAAATACCAATACATATGATTATCGATGACAGTGAGTGAGACTGACTTGAATGAGACGAACAAGAGTGTATCTTTGAGAGACCAGCTCTAAACTCTATGTTCTTGTATACCATGCAATGGAAATAGAATACTAATTGAAGTAATCAAATATTTTTGATGCGTAATAGATGATGCAGCATTCAGATATATATGTGAATAAATAGATAATATGAACATAATCATTACTAATTGGCTGGTAATGCGGCGTCGAATACTTGATTTGTGCACAGACACTAAACTGGGGATCATCGTGAAACCAAAAATTACGGAAGTTCGGTTTAAATTGTCGCTGAAAATGTAGGAAACGACGGTTGCTGCCTACCAATGAGATGAATGAACATTAGTTGCATCGAGAACATAAGTTTCTACTATCGGGAGTATGACTCCAAACTTATGTTTATGATAAAGTGTAACATTAGACCAAAAATGACATGAAAAAAATTGGAACGAACTCACTTGAATCAGGAAAACTTTACGTCATTGGATAATAAAAATAATCCAGTGAGTTTCGAATATCATAACGTGTACTGTCCATATAATTATGATTTGTTCGATTAGTGATTTGACTGCGTATATGTCATAGTTTAATGTCAATACGAACAAAAATAATAATTCCACGTTAGATGATGATATGACATTATTGTAATAATGAGCATGTGATGATTATTCGAATGTTAACGGAATATGTCGTCGGCGGTTCCATTTTTGATATGTGTTCGCTCGTTGCGGTCGCCAATTCTGCTGCGTGTTCCAAATACGGCTTGCCAATTATGTTGTAAGTTCGTACGTAGAGGTTGTCGATTCTGGTCCGTGTTCGTTCGGTGAGGCATCCAATTCTGTTGCGTCGTGCTCGTTCGGCGAGGTATCCAATTCTGTTGTGGCGTAAATCTGATTTCGTCTATACTCGTATATAATAAATGACTTTATCCGCGTTAGTGAATAACGGAGTTAAATAAGTCAAATACGAGAATGGATTTAGAATACATATAATTTCCACACTCATTGGTCTGGTCAGGGAATCAGAGTGATGAGGCGAACAGATGAGAACGGAACGAAGCAAAGATCATGCGCAATGGAGATGGCTGGGAAGCCAACTCGTTATAAGCAAGCATTAATCAACATTTATAGTCAGGCTAAAATGAATGACAGACATGTGATAGGTAGGATAAGAAGTGTGCATACACATACGCTAATATAAAAAAATAGTCAAGGTCAATAAGCGAATAATTAACAAGATCAAAATATGACTCATAACGTTATAGGTGAATTGGCTTGTCCAGAAACTAGAATAAGCTATGTAGGTGTAATATAGTACACGACGTTACACTACTCCCCACAATGGTGCTTTGTCATACACGATTATATATTTTTTTATATAAGGTAGAGGTCTAAATATATCATGTAAATACAAAAAGTATGTACGCTATAGCATCCAAACTCAATATAAGGATTAGTAAACAAATATGGGATGCGATTCTTCGTCAAATATGATTATATATATATATATATATAATTATTGTAGAGAGAGTGAATTAAAAGAAACAATAGAAAGCTGTCAAGATATAATAAGGTTGGATAAATCACAAGCCAACCTAGTGAGTGAGGAGTTATTTTGTTCAACGTTTATGTAATTGAGGTTTGGGGATGGTTCTTCATAATTGATCAATGACCCTCAGTAAAGAGATGTGATAAGGGTTAGATGGGATAGGGATGATTCATCCCAAAGATCCACAGGAAGAGGTGTGGCGGGGTAAGACAAGTTGGTAAATGATGTATCCTGGAACATATTGTAAGAGTCAGTCATGGAGCTGTTGCAACAAGAGGGAGATCTACTGAAGCGACGGAACGTTTGTTATTCGATAGCTCGTTTTGTCGATAAAATAGGTTGGAGGGTGATATGTAAAATGAGCTGGTGAAGTTGTTTGGAGACTTTAACCAGTAGAAAAGAGTAGAAACTACTCTGTTATCGGGGCTGAACTGGAGAAATGAGTTTATATTTCGCAAGTGGTTTGAAGTGACATCGGCCAAATGCTATGACAGAGTTTCCACTATGGGCTATATTCCAAAAATCCTTGCTAAGGCTGATTGTCAAGTGTACTGCTATTTGATAAAAAAGTCTTAATAGTCTTGGTTATAGCTATTTTCATTAGTGTGAGCTTCGAAAGAATCTATTGTACGCAAATGGAAGTAGTTATGACTGGATAAGACGTATATAGTTCAAGCGTCAGGTACTGAGTCGTCAGTCATAGGGGTTACAGATTTTGACATTTAAGTTGGTTTAGAGGAAGTTGGTGATATTTCTCTTCTACTGGAGTTGCTGACGATAACCGGAAGCTGGGTGAGTAGAGAGCTCGTTTAACTGAATGGAAAATGTGGATGTATAGTGATTGTTAGGTGTTAACTGGCTTGATGCAAGAATCAGTGACGGTGCTTGTTTCGTGCCGGTTGGTTTCCCTCGTTCTATTGATAAAAGCCAGACTAGTAGTGAGCAGGTATTTATTGAGATTGTGACACAGGGTACAGTGGAGCTCCAGGTTACCTGTTTAAATAAACAAAGCTTTTCAATATCAGATAATAAGAAAATAATACCTATGCAAAATAGGGAGGTGAATGAATACTTGAGCTTTCTTGTTTTGAAATATACTTATATGTTTGAGGTCAACTCCTAACTATTCAACCCAAGTTGTTAGAAAGTCCCTCGAGACCTCACTGAACCCACCGATATCGAAATCAACAATGGTTTTTACAAACAGACTGAATATATCCCATTTTACCACACTAAAAGTTTTCAATATGACGAAATGGTAATGAATGAGTTTATCATATGACTAAACCTTTCCGAACATGGGCTCACCTCTGTTTACTGCTTTGCAGTCCTCTAATCAATTGTTTCCTATGTTTTCGTGAGAATTAGGACTAATATTGATTAAATGCCTACCCATGTGACCATTAGTACTCATCGACTTAAGACGAATAAGTAATGTACTAGTAAGCTTGGTGTACTGAAAGCAAGTTCTCGACATTCTTTTCGATAAATGTAGAGAGTCGAGCCGCAACTTTATCATCCACAATATTATTCCTGATCATACTCAAGATTTTAGACCTTTCCATGTAATCCTCGAAAGCTTCAGAATTTGAATGCATATTAAACTGTCCAATAATCTGCTCCATTGCGACGGCAATATGGTAATTGAAAGTATTCGAAAAAGTATTTGAAAAAACGCCGAAGGTTGTCTGCAGTAGTGTGTGTATTCTCGTGAGTCACGCATTTCTCTGCCGCTTATTAGTTAATTGCTATTGAAGTCAACAACGAAAGCTATGCTACTCAAAATATTTACTCAGTCACTCTCAACTGGTACTGTTGCTGTAAACGTTTTTACTCCGTTATAGTAGTCAAGTGCTGGAATTCGCTGCCGAATGAGCTATTCCAAGCGACCTCCCGGGAGTCCTTTAAGAGGAAACTTGACTTATTCTTAAGGACTAAGGATAACATATTATTATGATTTACCAAAATCTTTTTTTCCTCTATTATCGTTCATATACCAAGGTTCTTACCTGGAGGTATTGGTGATCCACTGCTACCAGACACGGAAGCCCGTTAAGCGAAAGCTTCTTCTATTCCGTCCTCAACCATTTGAACCATTTGAACTAATGTGGGTGGATGATTAGCGACTATCACTCAATTTTTATTAGAACGAGAATCATCTTATACCTCCATGACCAGCCCGTGCGCCTGACATCTCCCTTTCTGAAAACACCTACGATCATGATGCTTAAAGCGCAGGTAAAAAGTATACGAACCACCTAGTCTGTTACCTCATTAATGACATCTTTTCACATAGGACGTTAACACTTAAGATAAATAACCTCACAGGCTCATAGCGAACATATTATTTAAAGTTCCAATAACTCAATGAAGTTAACGTGAATGAATTTCTAATCTTGCAACTTATGTAAGTTCCCTTACTCAATATTCTTGCTAATCATTATTGTGTGGTGGTATGTTGTTTAGACCAACCACATGAATGAACTAAGTACAAGTGGTGTTTTCAAACATACATATGTTTCTTGTTGTTTGCGCGGACACCACATATTTCTTCCGGAATGGTACAAGGGTCTCCAACAGATGACGGAGCATGGAGATGGGTTGTTGTTTTCGGTGCATTCATTTCGCACTTCATAACTTGTGGCTTCGAGAAAGGATATTCGATCATTTATGTCGAAATCATACGGGTATACGGTTCAAGTGCTGCGATGGCAGCAACTCTCGGAGGTTTCGCATCAGCAGTTCGTTTGCTATTAGGTTTGTTCATAGTTTTTATCATTCTTTTAGCTCCTCTGTCGGTTTCACTGAGTGACATTTATTCTGAACAGAAAGTAGTAATGGCTGGTGGGATACTAGCGTTTCTGGGTCTGCTCATATCAGCATTAAGTGACCATTTCGCCTTTGTCTTTATCGGATATGGAGTTATATTTGGTAAAGTCGGTAAACAATTAAACTACTTTAGGTTTCGGATTAACTCTCACTTTCACACCCTCACTAATCATATGTACATATTACTTTCATGAACGTCGTGCTACCGCTCTTAGTCTTTCTCTAGCTGGATGTGGCTTTGCCACGATGATTTTGCCATATTTTTTCTACTACTTGATCTCTCAATATGGACTTTCTGGCGCTCTGATAATTCTTTCTGCGTTCAGTTTGCATTATTGTGTTGCGGGTGCTTTATACTTTAAAAAGGACTTCGTAAAAAAGACTACTGAATCCAAATTAGATTCAGAAAACATCAAGTTAACTTTACGCTCACGAATTTTCAGGTATCTTCGCCTGCTACTGAAGATCGAAATTGCATCTGGAATATGGATAAAGCTATTTTTATTTTCATTCATCTTGAACATGATGGGTTCAGGCCCAGTCACAACCCTATTAATCGATTATTCCAAGCAGCTAGGGGTAAGTTGAGTATCGTTTTAATTCGAGTGATCACTTTAGTGAAGAAAAAGCTTCCCAGTTATAATGAGTCATGTTTTTCTTATATTTACACTAGTGTATCCCAGCTGTTAGTCTCAATAGTAAAACTCCATTGAGCCCCACTCCCTAATGGGGCTACATTTTGGGTGTCTAACTTCACTGCTGACGGTTTTAAGTTCTATCGGTCTTTGATGACAGCCGATTGTTTGGACCACTACTCAGAGGCATCCACCACAGGTTTTGCTTAGTTTTTCTGGGTTTTTTCATTCTTTCAAACCATTAGGTGTAATGGAATCTTAAGACGGTGTTGGAGAGGTAAGAGGCCCTTTAGTAACGTGCTAACAAAATTGTTTTCGCCTGCATTGTAAACTTTCACTGTTATTATCATATCCAAGATCAGCTGGTTAAACTCAACCTATATCCTGAATGTTGAGTGTGAATAAATGATTATCTCAGGATTAAATTGCCAATAACTCAGCTGTCCATATAACGAAAGTCGGAGTCCAATTAACTTGACTGAATTCAGAATTAGGACATTTGTGATTCATGTACCAAAACACTACCACTACTATTTGTTTAGAACACTTGAAAAATTTCATTTGTAACGGCTTTGTTCCATGTTTTGAGAAACCTTTACTTGAGTAGTAAAACTGTAAGATAACCCCACCCAGGTCGCTATTGAAATCGATACACTTTAACCCTCTACAGACCTTACAACAAACTAAATTATTACGCCATTCTATAATGGTTAAAACACATCGAGTGATAAAGGCTCAAAGAAAGTAAGTCATTTAACATTCAAAAGAAAATATCAAAAGACAGAACTATTGGCTAACAAAAGATTTGATAAAGGGATGCAGTTTCTAATGTAAACATCTGTAGGACAATTTGAAGTTCTCTTGAACATATGAGCATGTTAATTAGAACCTTCATACTTCATTTATAATAAAAAGACGATAACTTTTCATATTCAGACTTGAATTTCGAATCCCACACATAGTGATTAAGTCTATAGGAAAACCAAAAAAAGTTATACTTCAATCAATTATTATTGTGCCCAGTCGTTTTGGTTATCTATATATTTTTATCAGCGGAATAATTATTCCCGTATCATCACTTTGCATTCAGCAGTGTTGGAAAATAAGGTTATCCACACTAAACGAATCACGGTCACCCACTTTAACCTGCATTTTAGTTTCGATTAACGTGGTTTGAAGTGTTTTTAACTCAAAATCGAGCCTTCCTGATCAGAATACACATTCAAATGAGTACTTTTCAAATTCTGTGTTACCAGCGTTATAAGGCTCGATAATGAATAGTCAATTCAACTAACTAAAATCATTCTGAAATTAGATTATAACCAATTCGGTTGTGGTGAATTACAGAAAAAAATTTTTTTTCAGTTGCGTTGATGCTGATTTGATTTTTGTATTTTTCTTGTCTTCAGTTCAGTATTTACAGAGCGGTGGCTATGTATGACATATAGTCTGTCTCACCCAATACCACTGAGGCAACTGAGTAGGGTTTTAAGTTGTCACAAAAACCAAACGTTTCAATACAACAAATTAACATGTATCCGATTACTGAGTTGTTTCTGAGCACTTTTTTGTTTCTGTCTCTACTAATTTCTTGTGATTTCATCTATTTTTCTACATGATACACAGGGAGCGCACTTCGTATGTTTTTAAATTGTTGGCCAAATGATATTCTTATGTGGCAGTTGATTGAGCGAACTTAATAGATTTCCAGTAAACAAATAATTGTATTTATTATTTTTATACATGAAAAAGTAGTTGTGCTTGTAACCATCCAATACAACATATGTACATAAACGCTTGTACCCTGTACGAGTAATAAATAGGTTCAACTAGTTTCTCACTGTGAAATCTCTAGGATTAGATTTGAAGATATCGTCTACTTATTTGTAGGATTTGTGTTAAAGTAAAAGATCATAGCTAATGGTTGCTGATATTATTTGCATGTGCTTGCTAAATAAATCACTCAAAGTTTATATATTCACTTGTGATATAGTGGTTACAATTTCAACCATCAAGTCGTGGGTTACAACTTTTCTCCATCCACATCAGTTTGGACATTCGAGTATTCCCGCCAGTCCAACACAAAAGTGTGTGACTCCAAGTTGAGGACATAAACCTTTACTTGAGTTATAGCATGCCAAGTTGATTGAGTGAATACGTGATAAAGTTCAGAGAATGTTAACAAGGAGGCACCTACCTTAGCACTTTGTTTAGCATGATTTTAAGTTGGAGCTACTTACTTACGCCTGTTACCCCTCGTCGAGGAGCATAGGCCGCTCACCAGCATTCTCCATCCAACTCTGTCCTGAGCAATTCTTTCCAGTTTCTATTCATCCTTTTCATATCTGCTTTTATTTCCCGGCGTAGTGTGTTCTTTGGCCTTCCTCTTTTCCGCTTCCCTTCACCATTCCAAGTTAGGGATTACCTTGTAATGCACATTGGTGATTTCCTTAATGTATGTCCGATCCACTTCCAACGTCTTTCCCTAATTTTCTCTTCAGCTAGAAGCTGGTTTGTCCAAACCATCTAATTGATTCTGAGCTGTCCATTGTATTCCGTATTTCCCTTCAGATATCGAATTCTTCATAATCCAATCAATCACTAGAAGGAAGAGGAATGGGGAGAGTAGACAGCCTTGTCTGACTCCGGTCCTTTCTGAAAATGCATCTGTCAGCTGTCCTCCATGCATGACTTTGCACTGTAGTCCATCGTATGAGTTTTGGATAATGTTGACAATCTTTTCAGGAACTCCATAGTGTCGAAGAAGTTTCCATAATGTTCTCCTTTCCACGCTGTCAAACGCCTTCTCATAATCAATAAAGTTGACGTATAGTGATGATGATAGTTTTTCTTGACTTGAAAGCAGCATTTGACTCTGTAGACCGAGAGGTTCTGTGACAGTGTCTGTCATTGAAAGGTGTACCTGAGAAGTACATAAACCTTTTGAAGGCTCTTTACTCGAACACTATTAGTCGAGTGAGAGCTTATGGCGAACTGTCATATGATTTTACAACCTCAAGTGGTGTCCGTCAAGGCTGTCCACTATCCCCATTTTTGTTTAACTTCATTATAGACCTGTTGCTGGAAATAACACTCTCTTCGACTGAATTTTCAGGAATTGATCTCCTACCAGGGGGACCACTAAGCGACTTAGAATACGCAGATGACATAGTCCTGTTTGGTGAAGAGGCTGACAAAATGCAAAGTCTTCTGTTGGAACTCAGTAATAATGCCAGGATGTTTGGGATGCGTTTCTCCCCATCCAAATGTAAATTGTTACTCCAGGACTGGCCTGCGTCAACACTCGAACTAAGGATAGGGAGTGAAGTAGTCGAACGCGTCGACAACTTCACTTATCTTGGAAGTCTGATCAGCCCTAATGGGTTGGTGTCAGACGAAATCTCAGCACGGATTCAAAAAGCTCGTTTGGCTTTTGCCAACTTACGTCACCTATGGCGAAGACGAGATATCCGTCTATGAATTAAAGGACGAGTATACTGCGCAGTAGTTCGCTCTGTTCTACTTTACGGCTGTGAAACATGGCCATTAAGAGTAGAAGATACTCGTAGGTTACTAGTATTTGACCACAGATGCCTTAGAAATATTGCTCGCATCTGCTGGGATAACCGGGTAAGTAATAGTGAGGTTAGACGCAGGGTATTAGGGAACGATGGTAAATCAGTTGATGAGGTGATGAATCTTCATCGACTGAGATGGTTGGGCCATGTGTTACGTATGCCTGAACACCGATTACCACGACTAGTATTGTGGACGGTTGGAAGAGAGTTAGGGGCGGCCAAACCAAAACATGGCATCAGTGTTTGAAGTCACTAACTTCTAGCCTGAGCCATGTTGGCAGATGCAGACTACCTGGTTGGGGTCCGCGAGACTATCGTAACCAATGGTTGGAGACTCTGTGTGACATGGCTCAGAATCGATCACAATGGCCTAGGTGTATACACTCTTTATCTTCCCTTAAACCTTGAGACTAAAATTGCTTCATATCTCTCTTCCTTCCTGTACTATATCCTTATATACAACCTATAATTTATATACTACTACCAACACTAGATTAACTACTATGAATCCGGTGTTCCTCTTGTTGTGCTAAGGAGGTATGGCAACTTGGACCGATGCATATATGTGCCTGGTCCTACGTTGTAGCTGACTGACTGACTGATAGTGATGAGTTCCACTCAACTGATTGTTCAACGATGATCCGTAGTGTCGCAGTCTGGTCTGTGCACGACCTATCCTTACGGAATCCAGCCTGTTGATCCCTAAGTTCAGCGTCTACTGCGTCTTTCATCCGATTCAGCAGCACTCTGTTGAAAACGTTTCCTGGTACTGATAACAAACTAATGCCTCTGTAATTTTCACATTTGCTAAGATCTCCTTTCTTTGGTATCTCGATGAGATATTTTTCTTTCCAGTCCATTGGCACTTGTTCCTCTTCCCAAATCTTCTTGAATATAAGGTGAAGCATGTTTGCAGTTATTTCAATGTCTGACTTCAGTGCTTCTGCTGGTATATTGTCAGGTCCTGCCGCCTTCCCATTCTTAATTTGTCTGATGGCCATCTTGACTTCTTCGATCGTTGGTGGAGTGATATCTATAGGAAGGTCGGTGTGTGCCGGTTTAATGTCCGGTGGATTTAATGGGGCTGGTCTATTCAACAGTTCCTCGAATTATTATGCATATCTTTTTCTCTGTTCTTGAATCTCAGTGATTGTCTTTCCTTCTTTGTCTTTGACTGGTCTCTCTGGTTTGCTATATCTCCCTGCCAATTTCTTCGTTGTATCATATAGTTGTCTCATATTCCCTTCTCTTGCAGCTTTTTCTGCCGTCGTTGCTAGTTCCCCCATGTATTTCTGCTTGTCGGCTTTAATGCTTTTCTTCACTTCTCTGTTTGCTTCTGCGTAGTCTGCTTGTGCTTTGACTTTCTCTGCTCGTGTTCGGCTGTTGTTAATTGCTAGTCTATTGTTCTTCCTTTCTTGAATTTTGTCCAGGTTTCCCATAGAGATCCATTCCTTGTGATGATGCTTCTTAGGACCAAGAACCTCCTGACACGTTGAAGTCAGTGCTTCTTTTATCCCTTTCCAGTTGTCCTCCAAAGTAGTTTCTTGTTCTTTCAGTAGATCCTGTAGAGCTTGGAACATGTTGTTGAGAGTTATCTTGAATTCATGGAGCTTGTCAGTATCTCGAAGGAAGGCTGTATTGAACCTTTGTAGTGCTGTTTGTCCAGTTGTCCAGTGTTTCTTTAGCTTCAGTCTCATCTTGGCCACAACCAGGTGGTGATCTGAAGCTATGTCAGCTCCTCTCCGGGTTCTCACACCTTCCATTGATCTTCGGAATTTTTTGTTGATACAGATGTGATCTATCTGGTTCTCTGTGATTTGGTCCGGTGAGATCCATGTAGCTTTGTGAATGCGCTTGTGTGGGAATATTGTGCCGCCTATAACCAATTTGTTGAATGCACATAGGTTTGCAAGTTTCTCCCCATTTTCATTTCTCTCTCCTAATCCATGTCGTCCAATTGCATCTTCATATCCTGTGTTATCCACTCCAACTTTAGCATTTAGATCTCCCATCAGGATGGTGAGGTCCTTTCGTGAGCACTTCTCCATAATTGATTGCAGCCTCGAGTAGAACTGATCTTTATCATCGTCGTTGCTATCATTGGTGGGTGAATAACATTGGATAATGTTCATTGTGATCCCTTGCTTCTTTGTTCTGAATGATGCTTTGATGATCCTGGGTCCATGAGATTCCCATCCCACAAGTACATTTCGTGCTTCTTTGGACGGCATTAGAGCAACTCCTTGAATGTGTGGAGCATTTTCCCCTTCGTGACCGGAGTACAGCAGCATCTCTCCTGTACCTAGCCTTTGTTGTCCAGTTTGTGTCCAATGGGTTTCGCTGATTCCGAGTACTGCCAAGTTGTATCTCCTCATTCCCATTGCTATTTGGCTGGTCTTTCCTGTCTCCCATATTGTCCGGACGTTCCATGTACCTATAAAGAGTGTTGCTCTGGTTGTTAGAAGGTGCATCGGTCTCGTGACTTCTGAAGAATTTCGGCTTTCATCATGAGACGTCATAATTATTCCTTCAACTGAGAGGGCAGAGTTTAAATGGTTTGAATGATTTTTTCTGGTTAGCGTTTTTTTAGCGAGTTAGCTTTTCTACGGGATGGGGTCGCTAACCCCATGCCCAACCCTCCTCCTTTACCCGGGCTTGGGACCGGCAGTAACTCTAGAAGAGCTACAGGCGGAGTTTGGAGCTACTTAGTATACAAATATTTTTCAAAGGTTTGCCTGAAGCAAGAAAACTTGTGATTTGCAAACGACGCCTATTCTATCAATAAAATGAAACCATAGATTGTAGTTGCACTTTGATTTTGTTTAGTTGAGCTCGGTTTCAAAGAACTTGGTAAGAGTCCAATCCATATCATACGCTAAATTACTACGCCTAAATTCTAACTAGTATCAAATTCTGAAAGCAAGGAGATAACTGCTACGACACTCTATTGTAAGACTTTTAAAGGATTGTAGTTTTTATAAGCGAAATTGACTCGTCAGTCTACTTGCTTCCTTATATGGAAGTATTTGTCAGTGATTTAATACAAACCATCTAGATAGTTCAAGCATTCATCCATTAACAGTTAATTTCTTGCAACAAATTTAGCCATTATGAATAAAATTAAGGACTTCTACGGAAAGTCTAGAATTTACTTTCTGAATTTTCAAAACCGTGTTACTTAAAACTCTTTTTAACTTTTAAGGTTATCGGCGCTCAGTCAGTGCAATTACTTGCTATTGAAGGCACAGTACAGTTGGTGATGCGAATAGCTCTGGGATTCATTTTCGATTACCGTTTCATAAAACCTCATAGAGGTCTTATATGGACTGGAGGAATAGCATTTTCTTCTGTAATAATTATCTTTATTGCATTTGCCTCTCAATTGAAGTATTTGTCTGCTCTTATGTTTTTGCGAGGGTTATTTTTGGCTCTTTATATCTCCCAACAAGCTGTAGTTTTATCGGATTTATGTGAAGGACAACCAGAAACAACGAGTCAAACAATTGCTATTGCACAAATCTGCAAAGGATTAGGAATGTTGACTGGATCTTACTTTTCTGGCAAGTTATTTAGTTGTACTTCATTTCTTGGTCTTAGATTATTCAGGCGGTGATATTACTGAGTCATTTCATTTTACTTGGTTTCTGTGAACTTGCTAGGCAAAATATTTCATACATTAAGTTGCACATAGATTATTTAATAGTTTCTGTAATAACAATCCAGGTGCGATTCCATAATAAATTCAGAAATTGTTGTTTAGTACATTAAAATGCCAGCGTTTTATGTGCTAGTGTGAAATTTTTCAATTACACAGAACAAGTTATCATATAGTAACTAAAAGTTATTAAGAATAACTGTTTGTGAGACAGATTAAATTAAATCATGTTCCTCGCAGGCTTGTGTTGAGGCACTCTGACTGACCATTTCATAGCCAGTAATCTCTAACGGATACTAGGGGAAGACTCTATAATCTTCGTGCATAAAATTATAAATATATTGTGATTCCTACATCTCTTCAACCTTGTTTATTTCTAACATAATTACGTTCCTGTACAATCGTATTCTGAATTGGTGACTTCTTGAGTAAAGTGAAGTTTCCAAAGAATACTAAGCAATAAGGGTAGCTAGGTCATAATAAGAGAGATCTTAACAGCAACACAATAGAATCATATTCTTAGGAACATGTAATCAGTAAATTTAAATAAAGAGAACAAAATTCCTGGTATTTTGAGAACTTCAAAAGCCTGGGCTATTCGATTTATAAAATGAGAGACTTCGTCTTTTCATGGGATTTGGTTGCTTCTTGTATCAGTCACTTCACATTTTGATGATTTGTGACGTCATCGTAACACCTGCCTATGACAGTATATTATAGTTAACATTCTGTTGCAGTTTGTTGCTATATAATCAACTCATTGACTGTCTGAATGACTATCAAACATAGAAATTGTTATAACAAGTAAGTGCGTGCGTGTCCTGTTTGATATATGGATGATATGACCGTCCAATTAGAGAGCAGTGAATTTATTTATCGTCCAATGATGCACAAAATCGTATGAGCAGTCTTCAGTACTTATCAGTCCTACTTTCTGCCTAGCCCAGCCAGTTACGTCCAGAACACCAATAACAACCTCTGCAATATGAATCATTATTCTCAAACATACTGGGTTTATATACCAAACAAACTGACCACATAGTACCATAAAATATAAAATAACATTTGTACGAGATTTGGCCAAATGTGGCTGTGAATAGAGGGAACAGTAATCAATAGACTGGGGATAACTCAAGAATAGTAAATCGTATAATAATAGTTCATAGGTCAAAATAAAGCTTATAATAAGAGGGACACGAATATTAATAGTTAAGTTACTTAATAATTATACAATAGGAAATATACGTATCATATTGGTCCATAAATAGTCCATAAATAATTCATATTTCTCCCCGGGATATAACACCTCACCTTTTTGAGAGATCCGGATTCTAAATTTCCCAAATTTGTCCTCCCCCACGAAACAGTGTTGGATCCTCATATACCCAAGTTACAATTAATGTGACATTATTTAAAACATATTCTTCGCGTTTAATAGAGAACCCACTAGGACTGACGTGGTCGTGAGGACCGACATTTGACATAAGGTTCTTCAGAAATATTGTCATCACATTTGCTGGAAGCATCACTGGTAGATAGTGAATCACTATGATAGTCAGCGTCCATCAAAAATGCACTAGGTTCGTGATTATTATTTGATGCATGTGCATATTTTCTGGTAAAACATGAGAATCTAGACAATTAGATTCGCCAGAATTTTCTTTTGTAAAATGATGATCTTCGATCGGTGCAGCTGCATTCAGTGTACTGCTCGATTTGGTTTCTGTTTCTTCACGGGCGATTGCTGCAGCAATTTTATTAGCGTTTAACAAGATATTTTATTTCTGTGGACTGGACAATTCATTGTTTGCACGTTCTGTTTCGGGGATGATAGGATTTGAACCAAGTATGGGGTATGTCTCTGAAACAAACAGTACTGGACTACTAGGCTGATCATGTGACTGCTATTGCTTCTTTTAAATTACTGTTTGCCACGGATTCATTGAGGCTCTTACCGGCATATTCATTCATTCTGCAATCAATTTCCAGCTCTGTGCACAATTTTGAAATTAATGCGTCAACTTCCGTCGCACCCCCAAAGCATGGGTGATTCAGCAGCTTTGTGTGTAATTTGTCAATGAATTCCAAATGACTCTTTAAAACGCTGCTCTTGTCGCTGGAATAGCAACTGTAATTGATCGGAAGTTAGAGCCATTTTTACCGTATGACTAATGACCAATGTCGTTCAAGGACAGCAACGAAAATCTTGGATGCTGATTGCACGGAATATTCACTTGATTTTCGGCCAATCGCAGGCTGACTTGGGTTCGGTTTTATTTACCCCATCGCCAGTGGTTATATCGAATGAGTGCGTTTTTGCCCAGTTCATATATGTGAGTGATAAGACTGCCAATTAGAGAGCAGTGATTTATCGATCAGAGCTATGATACACAAAAGCCGTATGAACAGTTTTGATCCGTAAATAGTCCTCAGAGTTACCATTCATAATTCTCCACGGGATATAACAGAAATAAAGATTAGATGAAAACTAAATATAATGATTAGTGGATTTTGACCTTTCAAAATTATTTTTTCACCATGTAGTGAGAAAAACAACCATGATTTTGTTTTGACACGAAGAATCAGGGAAACAAAATGTCCAGTAAACAATACTAGTATTGTTTACGAAATAACGATGATATTTATTGAATGAACAGGTTCTGAGACTATATTTTGAACTAATTGACCATCGAATAGTAACCAATATCATTCACTCTTATTCTTTGGCACTTAACTGCTCTTATCAACCACGTTGCAGTGTGTGGCCCCTAATTAAGTGGCTGCATATCGTGCTGCACTGTTTAATGGTTAAAGGGAATGGATGCTACCCTCAAGACTACTGGTGGATGCTATATAGCACGGAGCTTTCACCCCGAACCACCTAACATTATTAATAGGTCACTTGAAAGTTCTCTCGAGAATATATGAAGGATGAAGTATTGAGAGGCGAAATATTGTAGTAAGAATATCGGTCGATATAAGGTTGATCTTTTGTTATTTTTCTATCTTGTGTTTACGTATTGACAGTTTACGACTAATTTATTCCTTTACACTATCAATTTAATATCATATGCTGGTCATTTGATTAAATTTGTGTGAACTACTATATTTATTGACCAACATATTCGTTTGGAATCACATCGCTGTGAAAAAAATTGTGCCAAAGTTCCACAATTTCGGGCTTATATTAGTCGAATTTTGGGTGTTCTTCGGTATACATTGCTGACGATTCCGAAACTAAGACAATCCATGCATTCAGTAGCCCTCTGAAATAAAAGTGCTACTGTCTATTGACGAATTGAAATGAGACTACCACTTCGCGGCACGAATTCAATTAAGCATCTATCACTGAATCTGTTTTATCCAATACTGTTTTCTTTCAAGTGGAATGATTAACTGTAAAGTGCCTGGCGTAGTTCGATCCTTGAAACCGATAATATTTACAGTGCTTTCTTGTTCATGTAAAACATTTTATTTATGCTCATTCCTCGAAAAATCTACATATCACCTACGATATATAACAAGAATCTTATCTGCCAAGATGGGACATCCTTAGCTATTAGTGTCTAATTATACAGAATCATGTACTCTGTTTCTATCCCCACTGTTTAAATGAAGATTACTTACTAGACATAAGCAGGTGAAGTGGGGTTTGAATCAGTTACTTCGTTTGGAAACCGAGTGCTCTAATCACTATCTATGCTTCATTGTATGTACAAAATTGAAACAATTTAATATGATCAATTATTTCTATATGCTAACTGTTTTTGCTTCATCAGGTCTAATCAAAGATTATACTGAAGATTATCGTCCTGCCTTTATTTTCCTTGGTATAATGCAATTCATTGGTTTTATCACAGCGATTACTTCCATTATATGGGCGAAAATAAATTTACGCAAAGAGAAACATTTACTTACTGTTGACAATTTATTATCTAATACTAGTGTTGCAAATGTTTCAGAAGCTTCATTATCACAACCGGTATTAAATGAAAATAAAGCCTCAAATAATAATCAACTTGGTCTTTCTTCATCACCTCTCTCTATCCATAAGAAGATTAATGAAACAAGTACACTTGAAAATCCGAAAATATGATATTTTTTTTCTTGAAAATACTATGTCTTCAATTCGTACACAATTCAAGTGAGTAAAATATCTTCACTATGATTATTTTTATTGAGTTTCACCACTTAGATTTGTTATTATTTTATGATCAGAAGGGGATTTGTAGAGAGATTTCAGTATATTTCAAAGTTGAAATGATGAGTTAATTGAAGCTAGACCACCATCGAAAACCTGGAAGCACTGGACGGCCGTTTCGTCCTATTATGGGACTCCTTATGAGTTAAGATTTAAATTTGTTTTAGACATTGATCCATTCTTATATTTTTATATATAAATGTTCTTAACAAGTATATAATGTGTGATCAGATTGTTCGAAATGTATTATGCTAATATATCATCATATAGTTCTTATCTTCTTCGTCTTCTTATTACACCATCGAGATTTATCAAAGTGACTAATTGCCTCAAATGTCTTATATTTTAAGCAATTAGTCCCTTTGACAAATTTCGATAATGTAATAAGAAGACGAAGATTATCAGAATTATGTGATGAGATATTAGCGCAATACATTTCGAACAATCTGATCACACATATACTTGTTAAGAACATTTATATATAGAAATAAGAAGTCAACGTGATTGGAAGTGGGGTGTAAGAGGAGACAAGGATAATAATAATAATAATGTGAAAACAATTTGAAACCTAATCACTCTGGATAATGAGCTAATATTACCAGGGTAAGTTTAAGGTGAGAACAAACTGTTTTTGAATATACAAAGGGGGTTTGAATTTTCGTATGGCTAAGCCTTCAATAAACCTCAGTATACGCCCTTTTACACATTTAAACAACACAACAAAAGCCGAGATTAGATCAATCTTATGACCTGTTTTGATTACATAGAGGATGATGAATGTTTATCCTCTACTCTTAATGGGTTATTCGACTGCATTTGTTTGTGCAACCATTTTGGTACATGTTCACCCACCCTAGTTTTTTATTTTTATATATAAATGTTCTTAACAAGTATATTATGTGTGATCAGATTGTTCGAAATGTATTGCACTAATATACTATCACATAGTTCTGATAATCTTCATCTTCTTATATTTTAGTTTGAATTTTTTGGTGTAAGAAATAGAGCCCGACCTGGACGACTTTACTGTGTTGTCATGGGTTAAATATTAACTACATAAGTTAGAACACGATTTAACTAAAAAAAATTGGTATGTGGTTGGTTCATCATTGACGATAAATTTACAATCTAGTTTCTCTTAACATTTGTTAAGTGGTAGATAATAAAACTGACTAAATTAGCATTTACTTCCTGATGTTACACTACCCATTCGAACAAAATTTGTTATGAAAATATACCCGATCAACTTTAAATGAATTTATGAATACTGTCGCCAATTTCTATCGTGCAGCTAAGCTTGTCTATGTTCTGAAGCTTTCATTTAACTTTCTAAATTAACTGGATGAACGAAACTTAAATATTTCCATCATCATCATCTTGAAGAATTTTTTTAATGTTTTAGTTATCTTTGTTATTCAATATGTATAAAATGTACTGACCCTTATACTTTAAGAATACATACACATTTTTCATTAATTGCCTAGTCTAACAAACTAATAATTCTTTCATATAGTGATAGCCACCTAGCCACTTTTCTCAGAAACTTCAAATCTTAACTCGTACGTTCTAAGTTGTGTGAATTTGACTTTGTTTTTATTAGTTTTGCAATTTGAAAAATTCCCATGTTGTGAATTAGAACGATATATATATATATGTATAAGCGAACAACATTGTTTGCGATTAGATCCTAATTAGGCTTTACTCTAATATACAGTAATATTTATATGCATATACACTTGCTATCACACTATCAATTTGTACTCTTTACTTATTATGTTTATTTATGTAATCTATTCCGCTGTTATCATTGAATCATAGACTATCTTGATTGGTTTAATAATTTCGTACTTACTTATTTACTTTCGCCTGTTACTCCCAATGGAGCATAGGCCACCGACCAGCATTCTCCAACCCACTCTGTCCTGGGCCTTCTTTTCTAGTTCTATCCAGTTCTTGTTCATTCTTCTCATGTCTGTCTCAATTTCTCGGCATAATGTGTTCTTTGGTCTTCCTTTTCTCCTTTGGCCTTCAGGATTCCATGTGAGGGCTTGTCTTGTGACGCAATTAGCTGATTTCCTCAAGGTGTGCCCTATCCACTTCCAGCGCTTCCTCCTGATTTCTTCCTCTGCTGGAATCTGGTTTGTTGTCTCCCACAGTAACTTGATGCTGATAGTGTCTGGCCATCGAATCCGAAGTACCTTGCGTAGACAACTGTTAATAAACACTTGTATCTTCTGGACAGTGACTTTCGTGGTTCTCCACGTCTCCGCCCCATACAGTAGAACTGTCTTCACATTTGTATTGAAAATTCTGATCTTGGTGTTGGTTGACAATTGTTTTGAGCTCCAGATGCTTTTCAGTTGTAAGTATGCTGCTCTTGCTTTGCCGATCCTCGCCCTCACATCTGCATCAGATCCACCATGTTCATCAATGATGCTGCCCAGATATGTAAAGGTTTCCACATCCTCCAAAGCTTCTCCGTCAAGTGTAATTTGATTGGTGCATGTTGTATTGTATCGGAGCGTCTTGCTTTTCTCTTTGTTTATATTGAGACCTACTGTTGCTGAGGCTGCTGCTACACTGGTCGTTTTCTCCTGCATTTGTTGTTGCGTTTGTGATAGAAGAGCCAGATCATCCGCGAAGTCTAGATCGTCAAATTGCATCCTGCCTGTCCACTGTATCCCGTGATTTCCTCCAGTCGTTGACGTCTTCATGATCCAGTCGATCACTAGGAGAAAGAGAAACGGTGAGAGTAAGCAACCTTGTCTGACACCAGTCTTTACTTCAAACGAGTCAGTGAGTTGTTCTCCGTGGACGATTTGGTAGTTTAGTCCATCATAGGAGTTCCGTATGATATTGACTATCATCTCAGGCACGCCGTAGTGTCGAAGAAGCGTCTATAGTGTCGTCCTGTCCACGCTATCAAATGCCTTCTCGTAATCGATGAAATTGATATAGAGTGATGAATTCCATTTGATTTTCGTATATGCATATAAATATTATTTTTTATTAGTATTGATATTTGAATGATATCTGCTTAGAAATAGACGTTTCGGTTGAATGATATAAATAATAATACATCTAATTATCATCAAATCAATGAATTAGAAATTATCATAATACTACAACTTATTTGTACATCAATTTGATAATCACATAGTGTTTTATGTTATATCTAATTATCTATTAATCAAATTATAATACATATACACATACAGTATCATGTGAATAATAGTTAACTTATTATGGCACTTTTTGTTTCACTGATTTATAGAATAATTAACTGAAATGGGTTTTTTGTTTTTTGTTTTTAATCCTAATTTATCACAATTAGAAATAATAAGTGATATTTAATGTATTTTACAGAATTCTTTCTTTCTTTTTTTTTTATCAATAAGAAAACATAGAAAATTTTTATTTACATGTTACTAATGTACTTACGGTAGAACTTGTGAAATGTTTCAAAATGTAAATTAAAAAAAAAAAAAACCTCATGACAATAATTTTTATAAACTGTTGATATTTGATCGGATAAATTACAGAATGAAATGAAACTTGTCGACTTAGATACTAGGTGGCTTTTGATTGAATCAATGATTCAACTTTAAGGTAACCTATTGATAAATTAGACCACACACGCTATACTTATCAAAAGTTCCATTGTGTAAAAAATGTCTCTCTTAATATGATTTGATGAACTAACTATCACATAATGGTGTATATGTGCTTGTTTTTCACTATAATCACTTAGTGTAACTTATAAGTCCAGTACTGTGTCTATGAGATCTACTCATATAACTTGGCTACCCAAATAGAAGTATGTGACATGTGGTTTAAACTTATGGGGTAACGATTGAAAGCCTAATAATTTAACCATTAATCTATCATAATAAACTAACTTCCACACAGTTATGTATTACCCCCTCCAAACAACAAATGATTATCGAGTTGTTTCTGTACTATGAAAATTATAATGATACTTAATCAACCATCGCCCCCAAATGCCCTGGTACGGCCGAGAGTGGGGAGAGTCCACTCTCCCTCTCGAAACGCTCTCACATGGCCAGCGAATATATAGAGCTTCTGCCACGGAAGTCCTACTCACTGCCTTCTTGTGGCGGGGGTGTTGTTCACAAAAGTGAGAGGACGAAAAGCGAATGTCCGGCGCTTTAACCGGGTTGGTGGACATGGAGGGTCCACCTAGGGGAGTTGGAAAACCCTGATTCCAAACCAGTGGTGCACATGGGCTCCAGTATCCTGAGGGAACAAATGGCGTACGAATCAACCGTTGATCACCGGCTACCATGGGACTGCATCTCCTCACGATGCTCCACTGCCTTGTGGATCAGATCTTTCGGTCAAAGGCTCCAGGTGTGGTCCCCTAAGAAAACCACCTGTTTCAGTCTGGGCACCTGGGCAGTATCACAGCCCTCAAGCAAATCGAATGAGATTTGTATGGCGCATATGTATTTGGTGCTTCCTTGTACCAATATTTATGTGTTTAAATAAATAAAATAAATAATCAACCATCAAACTAACTTCATTCTTTTTATTTTGTTTCTGTATTTTTTTAGGATGGAGTAATCATTTATCAACCTGAAACAGATCTGTATATGTTATATATATATTATTCCTATTTAAGATCTGTATATGTATATAAACATTTTATTTCTGCTTTCAATAAACTGTTGTGTCAATTTTATAGACCACACAGTGTATTTCTTCGCTTCCGAACTCTGTTCTTACACTATTACTCAACTATTTGCTTATTACGCTTTTTCATTTTCTTATACCCGGTTATCTTTAATTGACTGTACCATATGTATATATCCCTGAATTTATCCACAAACCAACTAATAAACAATCCGAGTAATTTTCCTTATGATAAACTATCA